TATATAAATACATCTATAAAGTGTATACATATACAAAGTGTGTATACATAATCATACATTCTTCTTCTTTTTGTAAAATTATACTGTTTAATATAAAAAAAATAATAATAATGAGAAAACATAAAAAATAATTAAGAGGATAATTTTTATATTGTCTCTTTCAGAAAAAATCAAGTTTGGAAAAATATAAAAAAGTTGCTTATACATAATTACAAATAAAGTATTATGTAATTATGTATGAATAATTCTTCTACAATATATTTTTCGAAATTTGTTTATCAATTTTACGAAACTTACATACAATACCGATTGTTGTATAGATGTTTGCATAAATAGAGATATTGCGTAAATAGAATATGCTTCTGACAATATATTTCTGACAATTTGTATATTTCGTAGAATTTCTGTAAGAAAAAACCTAGCATTTGTTATATAAGATATCTAAAAAACGTCTTTTAGGTATCTTGTGTAACATGCGTGTTATTTAGGAAGTCTTTAGATATCACCTTGAGCCATGCGTTTTTAAATATCCGAAATGTTCATAAATCAAGCCTTTTTTATCGCTTCTTTAGTTTAAAGAATTAAATAAAATTTGCAGAAGCAAAATCAAAGGAATAGGAAGAGTAATTCGAACGATAATGCAACGTTAACTCCAGAACTGCCATATAGTAACCGCAGTATAGGATAGACACGTTGTCGTGAAGCAAATATTAATTTGTAATCTTCTGAAAGTAGAATTGGGCAGTCAAGTAGAATTATAGTCAAGTAGAATTGGACGTTTAGGTTTTTTGAGGAACGAATTCCTTATGCATTATGAATTCGTTTCGTAAGAAAACGAATAAGAATCCGAATTTAAATTGATAAGTAAATTGAATAATGTACTTAGAGACGAATAATTGAGCGGAAATGATGGTGGAAAAGAATGAGTAAATTAAGTTATATGATTGGAAACGAGACCATTTATATTAAAACTTGAAATAACGAAGCGCCTTATCGGTCCGAGTGTTAAGATGTCGAACTATTATATCAATACTATATAATATACAATCATTTAAATTGAATTATTTCTGAAAATTAATTCAATTTAAATGATTGTATATTATATAGTATTGATATAATAGTTCGACATCTTAACACTCGGACCGATAAGGCGCTTCGTTATTTCAAGTTTTAAATTAAGTTATTTATTATATATTCAAAATAATGATAGCATTGATTTTTTTTGCAATTTCATCTAATAATTACATAATACTTTATTTGTAATTATGTATGAGCAACTTTTTTATATTTTTCCAAACTTGATTTTTTCTGTGAAAGAGATAATATAAAAATTATCCTCTTAATTATTTTTTATGTTTTCTCATTATTATTATTTTTTTTATATTAAACAGTATAATTTTACAAAAAGAAGAAGAATGTATGATTATGACGTATGGAACTATAATTACTCAAGACAATCAGCATTATGTAAAAAGAATGTGAACATGTATGCGGAGCACAATAAAATTGCATGCGTATCAGGATACATCAATATGCCCAATATTTACGTATACATATCTATATGTACAGTAGTGGACAGAATGGTTACAACACTTTTTTTCGGAATGTAGCTTGCTTATCGAGCGATTGGTTCTTACTTATGGATTTAACCATTTACACTTAACCTTTCTAAAAACAAGACTGAGTTCTGAAACCTATCGAAAAAAAGTGCAACCGCGCGTACTGTCCACAACTGTACATCTATAAAAATGTGTGTATATAAGTTATTTAGACTTTATAGAAAGTTAAAATAAATCTGAAGAAGAAATTCTGTAAAAATATAACAACGGAGTCTATTTCATCATCACATTTAGATAATTATTCATTGCGTTATTATTAATATTTAGTTTATTTTCCCATTTTGTGAGCTATCTTAATCATTTTACATGTGTTATATATTAACTTTAAATTAATAAATTATAGTTTTACATATTATTAATTAAATATATAAGTAAAAAATTAAAAATTGAGAAAAAACAAAATGGGGGCCCACATTAACACCTTTTGCTCCATAGATATGTACAATCAGTCGTTTCAGTGCTTATTTTGTTACGCATTTGACATATTCTTGTTTAACCTTATTTTTAAAATTAATCAATCATTGATAGTTTAATTAAAGTTTTTAATTTGCATAATTTCTTGATTATAATAATTTTCTTTTTTTTATAACGCAATGTGTTTAATTATTATAAGTTTAATTTCCGATTTTTGTAAATATTTTTATAAGTAATAACAGACTTTTAGTTTGTAATATCAACACGCAATAAAAGAAATAGAGCGTTTGCATTACGCGGATGTACTCATGGAATCTGAAAAAGGAAATGATGGAAAAATGTCACGTTCTACTATTGATAAGTCGATTCTTTTCAATCCTGGAAATACTCTCGATGTAAAGTACGAAATCAAATAGTACCACAATAATTTGCATAAAAAGTTATATCTATTGACAACTTAAATAAACCTTATTTTATTTAAGAAATTTTCTCATTGTTGAGTAATCATTAGTTTTACGTAAGATTTTTATTCTATTATTTAATTAAGATTTTTCTGTTTGTAGAAATTCCATTCAGAGAAACGTTGGAAATCCAAAGGAAGTCATTGTTGAAACAGAGAACAGAATTAGAGATAAAGTACAAGGGGAAACAATATTATTTTTTGAAAATAATAATTTTTCGCGTTCCAACTCTGAAACTGTTGAATATGATGAATATGAAGAAGACAAAGATTATGTATATTGGCAATTGCCGAAGATAAAAAAGTTACCAACCTTCTCATCTCTAGTACGTTTTGGTTATTTAATTATTTATTTAGGAAAGAACTAAAGAATTAAATTTAATTATAATGTTATAATTATTAAACTTTTTTAAAAAAAGAAATATTTTTTAATAATTTACTAATTTAATTTTTTTTAATATAGCATACTTTTTTATTATTAGATAGTACTTATATGACACCTTTCACACATTCTGATATATTAATGGAAATGTAAAATATTTGTACCGTAATGAATTTTTTAAAAATTTATGTATTATTTATCTAATAGTGTAATACCATTTTTTTATCAATCTATATATTTTGTTTTTCTATATTTAAATAATTGTAAACCAGTACATGTAATGGATAAAGTATTTATTTATATAATGATATTTACAAATAATGATAGTATATACATAATTTTATATATTATTACAAATATATCTATATTTTAATAAGAATTAATAAACTCAAAAAGGTAAGTGTGTGTATATGCATATTACATTAAAGCAAAACTTCTTATAAAGACTGTTTAAATTAATTCAAATATGTTTATAGAAATGAAAATTGTATTATAACTTCAATGTGTATTAATTTGTTCTAGCTGCGTGAATGGAATAAGACACAGGTAATTCTGCTCTCGCAGCACCGTATACATTTTAGAAAACGTATAAATACATTATCTTCTTTATTTTTGTATTATTTTTTTTGCACTAAATAATGTATCTACGATTTTGAATATATTACTGTGTATTGTATATGTTTTTTAGTGCTTAATTTACTATTCATATTACACACACACACACGCGCGCGCGCGCACACACACACACACATACAACGCATATCTGCTTTGTCATTATACAAAAGAAACATTAAAAATGCATAAGATGTACAATATTAATACTTTATTTTAATAGTAATATTTTAAATTATATTTTTTAACAAATTATTTGATATTTTAGTCCTTTAAAAATATCGTTTGAAATAACGATAGAAATATTTTTTCTTGTTTTTCTAATTTTTTTTTAGTTATATACGAAAAATATAAAATTATAATTTGCTCTTTTTTGTTTCTTTTTCCAATATTTTTCAAGGTTTACAAATATCGTAGGATATTATATACACAATGTAAAATAATGTGCTAGAATAATAACGGATACTTTATTTCGCAGGTATAAGTTGTGCACACTTTTCACATAAAAATTTTATCAAATAAAGGATAATTACATCGTTCGATCAATTTAGCCTAATGAAACTTTAGAAACTGAAAACATGACTAAAAAAGCATTTAAAGCGTTAGAAAAAGAGAAAGCGGAATCTGCAGCCGCTGAAGCTGAAAGAATTAGGTATGAGTTTAGACAATAAAAAAAAAATTATAGGAAATAATAATTAATTAAATCTGATTACTTAAATTACACAGTAAATAAAATGTTAACACAGAAATATCAATGATCAATACCCATTAATTAATAGTAATGGACGTCTACATAATGTATTATCAATTAATCTATTTTGATAATTTTTTAAACTATCGAGATTTAATTAAATTAATAAATCAATAATATTAATAAAATATGTTAGTATAGAAAATAATTGCTCACATTACACTTTGAGCTTTTTCGCTATTTTGTTAATAAAATATTTTTAATCAAGAATGCAGATGATTAAAGATATACAGGAAGAGATTCGATTAGAAAAGTACAATACGGAGAGACAAATATTGCTCGATAAACGCGAAGCAGAAATGCGAAAAATTCAATTAGAAGATACATTGTCTGTGCTTCGTGATTACAAAAGTGTATTTATGAAA